ACACGATGGCATGCATCATTCGAGTAACCAAGACTGATCACCCGATCCCGTTAGTCGCATCTAACGACGCGCGTGGGTGGCTGAAGATGCTCACAGGTCCAAGTCATGAACAGGTATGGATGACGCACAACCAAGAAAACAAAACCGGCTTTTAGGTACACTCTTCGAGGGACAAAATTATAATATGTAATCAAACAAATTAAATATGTAACATGTTGTAAGAGAGGTAGCAAAGTAAAGTGCCATGTTCCGTAAAGCGGCCACCGTCCCTCTGTACAGATTAAAGTGGCATATGGTCTGCAGTAGCCAAGTGGTCATTCTATTCACCGTAGGTCTGTGTTCGATTCCCCATGAGGGTACTGCATAAAACCCTTTCTTGGCGTCATCCTGGGCTGGAATAAATTCTTGACATAGTAAAATTCAAATCACTCGCTCTATTTAGACACATTCACCATGCAGGATATGTCATCCTGAATATACTAGTATTACACGCCGTCAATACAAAAAATATAAATACTATTCGTCATGAACTAATCAAAGTGCTTCTCGTAAATCATTTATTTGGCATCTCGCAGGTTTATTCTTCTCATGGCATTCAATGATTATGTTGTTTTTACCTGTGCGTCAATTGATTACGAAACGTGCCGATGGCGTTGTCGGTGGTTCGAAGTGACAGGTGAAATACTCGAATCCTTGAATTATTATTTTTCTTTCATTACAGCGAAACAATTGAGTACGACCCTGACAGCGGTTTCCAATCGTGTCGTATTTGAGTAGTTCATTGCGGTCAATAGGTGTCTTAGCTTGGCGCATGTGCAGTGATTGTGCTGGCATCAAGATCAAAGGTTAGAACCCACAAATAGGGTGTCATAATGTATGGGATTTCGAATGGGAGTGTGTGGCGCAATCTAAATGTGTAGAAATTGTTAAATTGAATTCGACATCGTATGGACTTATCACTATTTTTGTAATGCTGGGCCTAGATTTTCGAAACTCTCTTAGCGCTAAGATAGTCGTAAGTTAATATTAGGGTATGGCGCTTACGACTATCTTAGCGCTAAGAAAGCTTCGAAAATCTAGGCCCTGCACTCAGAAATTCCCCTGCTTTAACACGGCGGTCTAAGAAAACATCAAATTGTAATCTAACTTTATATCTGACTAAAATTTCAGAAAGAGCTATTGGTAAAACTTCTGGAAAGCCAACTACTCGAAATTCTCAGTATTGGTGGAATAAGGATTGTGACGACAAAAGGCCTTCGCAGGACATCCTTAAGGGACTTTGCAGGACATCCTTTCCGGTTGATTTAGAAGACTTTCGAAAAAACGGGATGAATTCCGACGTCTTGTACGGTCATTAAAACGCAGCAGTTGGCGTTCTTACATATCTACAATAAACAGGCATACTTCCCTGTCTTCAATTTGGGCCAAGGTAAAAAGGATAATTGGAACTGTAATAGATCCCCTATTCCTGTTTTGGATCAAACGCTATTTCTCGTGAAGAGAAAGCAAATCTTTCAGCAGATCAGTTTAAGGCTGTTAGCAGCTTTGAAACCTTTTCAACAAACTTTAAAAACGAAATCACAAATTTGGAGAATGAGATTATTCCTATAATTTGAGATTCTTTATTACAACCTTTTCCTGAATATGATTTATCCTTCCACTTGGGGGAATTAAAATCTGCAATATCAAAAGGCAAGAATACATCTCCTGGTGCCGATGAATTGTGTTACGAACACTTTAAACATATGCCAGATTCAGCTCTAGAAGTCATACTTAATATCATAAATCAAAGCTGGATATCTGGGAAGTTACCCAGAAGCTGGAGACATGCTGTTGTTATCCCTGTTCCCAAACCTGGTAAAGATCCATCTCGCCCTGTTTCATACAGACCAATAGCCTTAACGTCTAACCTGTGTAAAATCATGGAAAGGTTAGTCACAAATCGTTTGAGTTTCTACTTAGAATCAAATGAATTATTAGCGAGGCTTCAGTGTGGGTTTAGGAAAACTCGTTCTTGCATAGATCACCTAGTTCGACTACAAACTGAAGCACAAAAAGCACTAGGAAACCAAGAGTATATGCTGTGTGTATTTTTAGACATTGAAAAGGCATATGATATGTTATGGAGAAATGGACTTTTATTTAAACTGCAAAGTTTGGGGGTAAAGGGACGTATGCTACAGTGAGTAAAGTCCTTCCTAACTGATCGAACCATACAAGTTCGTATTGGGCAACACGCGTCTGACATACGAATTATTGTAAATGGCACTCCACAGGGCAGTGTTATAAGCCCTTTGCTCTTTAATATAATGATCAATGATTTCTTTTCTGAACTTCCGTTAAATTTTGATGCATCACAATTTGCAGATGATGGTGCTTGTTGGAGACGTTTTGGAAACATTGAGTTTGTTCACAAATCTATTCAATTAGCTCTAAATTCTATAGATCTTTGGTGTTCAAAGTGGGGGTTCAAGGTATCAACTTCTAAATCCGTTGCTATGTTCTTCACAAGACGTAAAGTTCCCCAAATCTGAAGCTACACATTGGTGGTCAGGACATATAATTTGTTTCTGAATTTAAAGTTTTGGGTGTAATCTTTGATCAAAAACTCATGATCACTTGGTCCCACCCCAGCAACTACATTTCATCAACATGTACTAAAGCTCTCAATTTACTGAAAAGCGTGTCTGCCACAAAGTGGGGTGCTGATAAATCGTCCTTGCTTCTTTTATACAAAGCACTTATTTTGTCTAGATTAGAATATGGCTTTCAAGTTTTTATGAATGCTGCAAAATGTCATTTGGTTAAAATGGATCGTGTTCAAGCCAAAGCACTTCGGATATGCACTGGTGCCTTTCCTACTGCTCCAGTTTCTACCCTGCAGGTAGAATGCTCAGAACCTCCTTTGCAATATCATCGGCTTAAAGTTGCCCTTTGCATCGTCTTAAAGTTGCCCTTAAGTACTATTTATCCTTAAAAGCTTCATCTAGGTATCAACCAGGAACTGATATATTGTGTGATTGTGTGGAATATGTCATGTGCGATTGGAATCATGGAAAACCACCGTTTGGATTACTTGTTCAACAATTTGCATTACAGTACAAGTTGAACAATCTTCAGTTGAATGCTGCTCAATCTCTCCCTAAAACGGTTCCATGGACTTTAACACAACCCACGACTTCACAGGATTTATCGGAGCTTGTAAACAAACAAATGTCACCCAGTGTTATTAAAATCCTAACCCAAGATTACATTCACACAAAATATAGTAAGTTTACTTATATTTATACTGATGCTTCAAAGGATCCCAGAACTGATCATGTTGGTGGAGCTTTTTACATTGCCGATCGTGGATTATCCAAAAGATTTAGACTGACTGATCATCTGTCTGTATTTGCAGCAGAATTGACAGCCATACCTCAAGCTTTAAAATGGGTAAAGGATAATGAACGCGAAGCAATAATTTTCTTATTCGCTGTCAGCTATACAAGCAATTCAATCAGGTGTACAAGATCCACGCAGTGACATACTATACGCATCTTGTATCTTGATACTGTTTTAAACTCCATGTACATCAGCTGTGATATTATTTGGATTCCTGCACGTGCTGGTGTAGCTGGAAACGAAGTAGTTGACACACTTGCTAAGATGGCTTGCAACAGACCACAGCCAGATATTCAATCAATTAAGCCCACTCCAAGAGATTACTGATTTGTCATTTCATCTTCAATAACTGCATCTTGGCAAAATAAATGGGACAATGAAACTACAGGTAGACACATGTACTCTACTTGTCCTGTAGTTAACAAACATTTTACAATTCGTCGGCGTTGTCGCAGAGATGAAGTTGTTTTAACTCGCCTCAGGCTAGGACATTGTGGATTAAAGGCATATAGAAGTATTTTAGACAAAGACCTATCTCCTCTGTGTGAAAGCTGTAACTTACACTGCCCAGGAACAGTTCAGCACTACCTCATTGAATGTCCAGCTCATGAAAACCCACGTAAGGCTCGACACTGTGCTTAACAAAACCAAACATACTTTTACAATAAACGCAATACGATAACTTAATGTATGGTTGCATACAAAAGGGCTGTCTAAGACTTCCTCGTTAAAACGGGTAAGTACGACGTAATTTAACTGAACAAAAATATAACAGTTTGTTAAGTGCTGGGCGCATATAGGCCTTTTTCTAAGGCCCAAGGTCGCCCTAAAACCTTATCTACCTACCTCCCGTATTGTTTATTGCCTATTAAATTACATTTGTGACGTCATTCCATTGTCTGCTCGCTCCATTCCTTTTAAGGAATGGAGCGATGTGTACCAGTTTCAAATTAATGCCTTCATTTTGTCATTTGGACATTGATTTTTGATAACAGTAATATTCCCAATACTTTGAATGTAATTTAAGTAGGGTAATATCATCGTAACTCTCCATTCCTTAAAAATAATGTGCCTCGGCCCCTCTGAGGGCCTCGGGTCCATTATTTTTAAGGTATGGAGAGTTACTCGGACATTACCCTCTACTTGTTCATTAAGTGCCGACACTTCGTAATTCGTCATCTGAGCCAGAAACTAAGGTGTTTCCCTCGCAAACTGCATTAAATAGCTGACAGGTATCAAATTATTCCATGTCTGTAAAAAATACTCTTCTCAGAAGTAAAATGGAATTATTTCACTATCTAAACCGGGTTGTCCGCGACATGATTTTGAAAGTGAAAACGTCCGACCCCAATCGTTAGTTTCTAAATCTGCTTACGGAGAAACCACATCATGGTCTTTTACGGATTTCCTGGAAAGTCCCAACCGAAAGTAAGACGGGAGGTCTCAATAATTCGTCGGAAGATGTCTTCTTCTGCAACAACTAGTCCAGTTGAAATAATATTTCTAATCCCTACTTTAAACCAAAACAAGTTTTCACGAACGCATTTTTCACAAAACAGTTAAGATGAGAGTGACATATTTGATCTTGTAAACACTAACACACTGTCTATCACAATGAACGCTCACACGTCCCTTGATTTCCCAGAAGTGTCACCTGCAGATCAGCATACAGCTGAGAAAGACTCAGTCAGTCGGACGTTGATGACAGGTGGAAGGTAAGTTAAACATGTTTTGATCATATGTGGTAGTTTGTATCGGATTGATATTGTTATAAGGTAAAAATGCATCCCTAAAACCATGAGAGAATTACATCAGATTCCGTATTTAGATTTGCAGTTTGGCTCAAGAGTCATAACGCTTAGGCACGGTATGGAGACGGAAAATTTTCATAGAATGGCGTTTAACCGTAGGCTATGGAAAGAGAGACAGAACACATTTGTTGTGAAAGACATAACAGATTAATCTTATATTGAAACAAACAACAAAGGGGAGCGTGACCGAACGATTCTTTCCTGTACTTGTCCAATCGTAATATTCATAAGTGCAAGGTCGGATGGAGGCTTAACGAATCAAAACGATTTGTTGAAACATGTGATGGCCAGGCTCGAACCATATAAAAAGACAGGTTGGGCAGAGAGCGAGTGGTGCGCGCTTTTTAGTGACGGAAGCCAGTCGACGCCACTCCGTTGCCCCGTGTGGTACGAGCCTACTCTATTTGTTGTTAGAGATGTACTTAGTGAGAGATGGACTGGGACTGAGTAAAAGCTATGTGAGTATAAACTTGGTGTTGCGTTTATCTTTGAATGTCTCTGTGCCAGTACATGAATGTTGTGTGGCTAGTTAGGAGTCACGGTTGCCCGACCCCTCACTGCTTGACTTATCATCCTGCAACGGACCAAGCGAGTGGAGCGCCAGAGCTACTATGTCCCCCTGAAAATGGTAACGGCCACAAGTAATAAGTAACTGTGGTTGGGTTTCATAATATTATGACCATAACTCGAGATCGAAACAGTCCGGGAAAACCGTGCACTTTCGTTTTAAGGGCGTCGATGTGATTACGTGTTTTGCGCATGAGCTGGAATGGGCGATCGTTTTGTTCTGAACAGCGACAACTCTCCTATTATAAATGTATCTTGTTTTGTAACACGATGTTAACAATATATTTTCCATGAAAGACCATGTGTGTGTGTGTGTGCGTGCGTGCGTGCGTGCGTGCGTGCGTGCGTATAGCTGTAGCTTTATATTTTGATTTTCATTCAGCAGGTCTTAAAGACACTCGCACCATTGTGTCTGTAAAGAATTATCACGCCTTAGAAACAGTGTTTAAAATCAAATATTGTTGTGATGACAGAATCGAATTTAACCCCATAATCATTCCATGTAGACATTTTTATGATTTTACCAATATTTTACGTATGTGTAATGTAATATAAAAGTGCACATGCACCATCGTGCAAAAATATCAGATACAATAACACATTTTTCGAACCACATCAGCTCCTCGCCATTCGAAATATGTATGAATATAGCCTAATCGGCCATAATAGGAAAGAGATTTGAGTACGTATAAATTGTTAATACACTCCAGATTTAGAAGTTTATTACAAGGTGCACTTGGGTGTTTATTAGGAGGGTGTTTATTTCAAGGTGCAGGGGTACTTAGGTTTATGTAAGAAGGTGAGAAGTATACACAATGGGGGTACTAGATAAATTCCAACAAATCTTCATTTATGAAATAAAGCTTTTGTCAGGCCCTTATCTCTCCCCGCTATTGTATATACCAGATTGGAACCCCCAGTTAACTTCCTGGTCACTATGACCGCAAACCAACACTTTCCTGATCACGTGACACTATTGTGATCGCCCTATGTCGTGTTGACAGGAAACAGTTGGTGATAGGATACTATTAGTATTACTCGACAAGGTAAGTGTTAAATATTTTGCTTTGGGGGTAACATTGTGTCGTATGGTATGACCAATAATTCCTCTCTGACGAAACCTCTACCTAGCCCATCTTTCAAGTAGTACAAGTTCGGCTCGTCAGTTTTGACGTCCACTTTATCTATGTTGTAAGTTTTGACTGACCATGTCGGGTCGGTGGCTCGTTTCCGAGTGCCCTCTTCATGTTCTCCCCGCTGGTAGAGGTACCTCACTAGGACCTGGTCGGGTATCTGTTTCTCCTTCCCACGCAATGGTGCAGCCGGTTCGGCCGTCACTGATTTCAGTTTGATAGCGTCGGCCGGTTTCTTGCCGATGAGCCGAGTGGTTTCGTGGTTGATAGCCGTCACCACTTGAGGTAGCCCCGCTACCCATTCCGTCGATCGTTTTCCCGGATTGGCCATCTCTCTCGCATACTGATGCCCGAATAAGCGTTCGGCCAAAGTCCTATTGAATCTCTCAACTATGGCTTGACTGCGATGAGCCCCGGCAGCGCCACGCCTGACCTGGACGCCGTGCTTGCCTAGCAGTTGTGACATGGGACCCATGAAATCCCATCCGGGATCGACTTGCAGTTCGGTGGGCCATGTCAGCGGGCTGCGCTTGTATATGTGTTCGAATCCGCGGGCTACCTGGGCCGAGTCATTCGTGGTTAAGGGTTCGGCTTCTTTGTAGCGGCTGGCCACGTCCACGACGGTTAGGGCATACTTGTACCTCTTGTCATGGGGTAGGAACAGGAGGTCGGCCTGGTGGACGCTATTGGGTACGGCAATGCCAAACTTTCTTCTAGGCACATAGCGTGGTGCCGGTAAATAGATCTGCCACAGGGCTTATTTTTCAAGCCACGCTTTGGCCTCGTCCGGGGGTACTCTCGCCATTTCGGCAAGCTTATGTATGGCGCTTGCTCCTTTCCAGTACCAACGCGGGCTGTAGTAAATAGCTTCAAACTTTCTCTCTTTCCGTGACATCGTATATACACCTATGTTCTTGGTTCAATTTTCTCATGCCCGTACGCGTCCGTGTTGATCCCGTCGATGGCTATCCAACGCTTCGTGTCCATCGGCGACAGGGACGTCTTGTTTATCGTCAGTCCGTATATCCTGTGTCCTTTGCTTTTCAGCGTGTTCATCTGATGCTTGAAGGTGCGGGCCCTGAACAGGGCCTCCTTGAACCTGGCGTGTTTGATGTGTTGTTTCACCACGTACTTCTTGACTCCCTTCGCCTTCCGGATCTCGCTATTGTCGGCTTTCAGGATGGAGTACATCTTGGGCCTCAAGCCTATGTACTCAGCACACTCGCCCTTCATCTTACCGAGGACCTTTTTGTTAACCGTGCTGTGCATGGTATGGTCCTTGGGGTAGTCACTGGTGTCGTATAAATGGATGTGTTTTACCATGTCCTCGTACACGTCCTCGTTTCGAATCTCCATCAGCAGGGAGTCCGTGTCCGTGTACAGCACTTCGCATCTGTCGCCGTACTGCTTCTTGAGCTCGTTGTAGTAGAAGTCGTACATCAGGTGTTTGGATAAGTCGAGGATGCTCATCCCAACGTAAATGGGCCGGTTGAACTTGATGTGGCTCTTCCTCATATGTAGGGCCACCAGATCGTCGGCGAATATCTTGCTCTGGTTGAATGCCGGGCTGGCTATCAGTCTCCTGAGCTTGTCTTCCTCTTTCGCCCAGACCAGCTTCACGGTCACGCGTTTTCGTAAATTCTCAATCGTCTTAGCGAACACCGAGTTGTTCATGAGCTTGTAGAGGTTCTTCTCGAAGTCACTGGTGGCCAGCTTTCGCAGGTCCGTGTTCATTCTGATGTAGGGCTCCATCCACGGGCTCTGGTCGAACTTGAGCACCCTATGGGTTTTAGTCAGCCTCATATCCAGGGACAGGTACAGCTGCAGGTTACGATAGTGAACGATGTACTTGGTCTCGTTCATCCAATTGGGTACGAGTTTTTGGTTCACCAAAAGTCCGGGTTCACCATCAAACGTTCTGGGGCCAGGGGGTAGCTGTTGTGTGACTTATGTAATGCTGTTGGGTACTCCAAGTCAACTTCGTCTATCTCAGGCACCCACTCGAATCCCCCGGTGGGCAGATACTGGCTCATGGCCCAACCGTATAGGTTGTTGGTGTCGAGATAGAGGAGATGATTAATGGGTTTGCTAGCATCGTAGCCCTTCACGTACTTATTGTTGGCTCTTGCGTACCGTTTGGCAGCCATGGAAATCCTTCCTCGCAATCCTTTCTCGATGAACAGGTGCATCTTGTAATCGGTGAGGAGTTCCAGCTTAACTCCGGTTTTCTTCAGAACGGCATCCAAAGAGAGACTGGGGCTGGCGTAGTACCACGCGGGGTCGAGTTGATACTGCTTGAAACACGTCTTTCTGAACGTCTCGAACACGTCAGCCAGCAGGAACACGTCCGTTCTCAAGTACAGGTCGTGGTAATCGCCCAGATTCTTGCAGCCCAGTTTATTCCATACGTTAATCGCTCCGTGATGGCCAAGTCGGTCAATTTGCTGTAAAATTCCCTGATGGGGGGTAGTCGGGTCTCGGCGAACTTGCCCCAGCCATCCATGTACTCGTAGGGGTAAACACCCTTCCTCATCAGCAGGGGCCGAGTCTCAGCATCAGTGTATCGATCAGTGATGGGGAAGGTATCATTGGCTTTGACCAAACTATCGAGAGACGACAGTAGGAACTGAACTGAGTCTATGAACCTCAGGCCGTTCAGGCTGAAGGAGATGTATCTCTCCATGTTGTTGCGGATGCACGTCATGTTGCCGTCGACCTACGCGATGGCCTGCATGATCAAGTGAGCGGCGCCTCTGTACTCCCCGGTGACATGGCAGTGATCTCTCACCGAATCGCCGTTCAGCGGGCCATCGCACACATGGCAGTGAGTGCTGCAGCCGTGAGCTCGCCGGTCGGCTTGGGTCATACGCATGGGGACGACATTTGACAATTTCTTCCTGATGGTTTTCTCTTCCCATTGCAAGCACTTTAGAAACTTTTCAGCTGCGTCGGGGCCCCTGTACACCACGGGAGTGTTCGTTTCCCAATCACATCGGACGACCACGTATCCGAACCCACAGGCCTCGTGCTCCCGCGTTTTGTATGTGTTGGGAGCCGGGCCGATATCAATGGGTTTGACGAGGTCTGATGTCATCAATACTACATTTACCCGGAAACATCAACCAGCTTCTCAGATCAGGGCGTTGACCATGCTTCGTTAACGAACGTTTTCCCCTCTGACATGATGTATATGATATAGAAATA